GAAAGCTCGTGTCCGTGTCTTTTCTCAACATTGGCCTCATGGGCGAACCACGGGTACTTCACAGACTGATCGGTGAAATAATGGGGATTTCTACACATACGAGAGGTTTGTAAAGGACTCTGCATGACTTTCTCCTGTGATAATGTCAGGGGAGGTTTATTTTTATATTCCCCCGCAATGACCTTTTGCAGGCGACAGGAGATGCTATCAACTGATCCCGAGCATAAGGCTTGCCCCTCTGCCTACATGTCTCAGTTAAGATCCCTTTCAACACCCTGATTGGCTTCTTAAAAACTAGAAGGGGGGAGGAGGATAGTCGTCCGCTAAAATATTATTCATTTGGAAATCTGTGCCCGTTCAAAAAAAAGAGAACAAAATTAAAATGGAAATGCAAAGAGCTTTGCCTCTTTTCTCAAAATAAAGTGGGCAGATCACCAAGAATCAAACTCAAGATTCACTTGGTGTCCCCCAAACGTTGACGAAAACTCCCACTGGCCCATTTCAGGGGTGACGCGTCTACGTTTTGAGCCACAAAAGGAAATTTGGCTAAAAAATCCCTTTAGCAAAATCACGCAATTCTACAACAGGGTGAGCTTGTTCTTAAAACATTTGTATTTTTTCATAGGGATTATACAAACTACGCAAAAAAACTAAACACACATTTTTTTTCCCTCCTTTACGGAAAGCATTTGTTGTGGGATATTTCGGTCTTGGAATGTTATTCATTTCTCAAAATAACTTCGAAATGCAAAGTCAGGGTTGATTCAGGACACGGTCTGGGTGGCTGTTGAATCAGGCAGTTTTATTTGTTTTTCTCCCAAGGGGAAATTGACCTGAATTTAGGGGTCTGGATTCACCCCCGAGATTCCCACCAGCCCCCCTTCTCCCCCCACCCCAAAAAGTGGTTTCTGCACTTTCTGCTCCAGCCTTTAATCCTGGTTACTGCAAACATCTTTTTGGATACAAAAAGCAACTGGGGAGCTAAATTGCTTTCAAGATTAGCCCACCTCCCACATCAAGGGTTTCCCATTGAAACCCTTCAAAGACCCGTTTAAGCTTCAAAAGACCCCCCAATGCTCAAGTATATGGTCCTCAGTGAGGGTCCTGGGTCTTTTCAAACCAGGAAAGGTGGCTTAGAAGGGGTGAGGATGGTAGTCTAGCCTTCCACGTGGAACTGGAGCCTGGACTGGTTGTCCGTACAGGCAAAGAGTGATGGGTGTTGTATTTGGAAGAGGTGAGGGTGCAGGCAGGGGATTATGGGCATTGCCCATCGAGCAGATTGGAAGCACTGCCTGCTGCCCGGCTGGGGATGATGGGAGCGGAAGGCCCTGACATGCAGAGAGCCAGCAGATCTGGAGATGAGCTTTGCTGGCTGGGAACCATGGGGGCTGCAGTCAATCCCATTGGAAGGGCTCCTCACGATGGGTCATGTAATCCACACACAGCCCTGTCAGGAGCTCCACAGAGTGCTGGGTGAGGATGATGGGCACCGTGGACAGCGCCCTCTAAAGGGCATGAGGTGGTGCAGGCTGGTCAAACGTGATGGGCTATGTAGTGCGCCCTTTTGACAGACATCCCGAAGTGCCTGAAGGCAGCAGTGGAGGAGGAGGATGGGCATTGCAGTCCATCCAATCTGAATTGGGGGGCATAGCATGAAGGACAAAGGAGTCCATCACTACTGGCTGGGGATGATGGGCACCGGGGTCGCCCTCTCCAAGGGGTCTCGGGCGGCTCAGGACCGGCCAAGAGAGATGGGCTATGTAGTCCTCCACCTTTTCCCAGGAGCCCCAGATTGGGGGGGAGGGGGGAAGGGTGTCGACTTAGCAGCCCCTGCTGAGGATGATGGGCACCGTAGCCAGCCCCTTTCTGAAGGGACTACGCCGTCGGGCGGGGCGGGCTGCGGATGAGGGGCGCTGTAGTCTTACGTGCTTGAGGCAGCGCTCCTTGAGGCGCTCGATGGCCGTGTCCTCGGCCACCTCCTCCAGCCACTCGGCGCCGTCCAGCGCGCAGATGCGCAGCCGCAGCACCTTCGCCGCGAAGATCTTCTCCTCCTGCACGAACATCNAAAAAAAAAAATGCCTGTCGTCTTTAAGAGCTCGAGATGAAATGACTGCCTGGACAAAGGCCAAGGGCTTTGGGGTGGAGCCGCTGCCTGGAATAGTTCCAGATTGGGATTCGCAGGGATTATCATCCCGGCTGAAGGTCTCATTTCCTTTGTAAGGAAGCAAATTGACAGTACACAACTCACAACCGCAACTGAATCCAAAATATCTGTTGCTAAGCGAGACTAAGGTGAGTGAGGCTTTTTTGCCCTATTTTACACCTTTTACACCTTTGCCATAGTTCAATGCATTTTTTTTCATGGGGGAGGGCGGGGGGGAGAACTCTCCATCACAAATTGTGTTCTGTAACCAGCTGTAAAGTGCTGTGATGGGGAACCTATGGCATGACAGGTGTTGGGCCTGGGGAGAAGTGGGCCAAGGGGCAACTCCCCCCCCCCCACCTACCACCCCCCCAGGAGGAGCCAAGGACTCACGTCTCTCATGTTGTGGTGGGCCACACTCCGATCCACGCTGTGGGAGGGGAGGTTGGTGGTGGCTTTCAGGATCGCCTCCTTGTCGGGCGCCTTATTTTCCTGCTTCCGCTAAATGGGAAAGGAATCTGCGTTCAGACGTCGTCGCCCACCACCTCCAAACACACCGTGGGGCTGTTGGCAGGTGTCCAGTCAACCAGCCGGCTTTCACAGCTAAAGTGGGACTAGAACTCCCGCCCCCACTGGTGATGGGCCCAAAGTCACCCAGCCGGCTTTCATGGCAAAAGTCCACTTTGGCCTCACATGGTGAAAGAGTCCAGCCTGACGATGTGACCCAAGGATGGAAGGAGGGAGCAGATGCTAAAGGGCAGCTTTGAAGGCTGAAAGTCTTTCCGCCTCCCGGCCCTCGGGACTCACCTTCTCCTCGGCAGAGACCTCGGCCATTTTGGGAGGTGCCGGTGGTGCTCTTTTCTTCACAAGGACCAAAACATCTGAGGAGACAAGAAGAAGATAAATGGAACGAGATGTCGCGTCTGGCTTCATTTCCTGCTTTGATAGGACGAAAGGAGTTTGGAGGAAGGGAAAAAAGGATCGAAGGAGGGAGGGAAGGAGAGAAAAAAGTCAAGGATGGAAAAAGGAGAGGAGGATGGGAGGAAGGATGAAAGTAAAAACTTTGCAAGTTTGCAAGTTTACAAGTTTAATAACATTTATATGCCCCCAATCCGGTAGGACTCCGGGCGGCTTACAATACAGAAATAAAATCAAAAATAAAATACAGGGAAAAAGAAAGATAGATTTAAAAAACACCACACCATACACTCCGTTCTAAATGGGGCTGGACCGTATTTTAAGGTCAACAGCCCCAGGCCTGCCGGAACAGCCAGGTTTTAGTGGCTTTCCGGAAGGCCAAGAGAGTGGGAAGGGTCCGGATCTCCGCGGGTAGATCGTTCCACAGGGTCGGAGCAGCAACAGAGAAAGCTCTCCCCCGAGTAGTCGCCAATTGGCATTGCCCGGTCGACGGTACCCGGAGGAGGCCCAGCCTGTGAGATCTTAATTTGTGAGATTTCCTGCTTTGATAGGACGAAAGAAGTTTGGAGGAAGTTGGGTTTCTATTTTGGGGGGTTTGTTGGGTTTCTATTT